ATATTACTTCTTACCATTATACGTGTTCGTAATCTTTTAATGTCGGTAAAATTAATGGACATAGGAATTTCGAAAAAAATTTAAACCACAAAATAGTACTAACAAAAAAAAAAATATGAGGTGCACAAATAAGAGAGAAATTTTAGTTTAAACCTGCAACCTTGCAGTTTTTGATGTTTCTAACATAACATTTTTCGATTTTCGTGAAAGGTAAACTACCTCTACACTCCATAAAGGGAGTTCCAATTTGTAACAAGACCCAAATTAATAATTGACAAAATTGAATAGGTACTTTTTGAATTTTGTTGCTTAATTCGCTAATGCGGTCCAATTTATATTATAAACACTAGTGTCTTAAGCACACTACTTACCTTACTTTGCAACTTATCGGGTCAATTTAATTTTTGTGGCAGCTTTAGTGGAAGGCAGACGTTAAGCTCGCCCTGCATCCTCAGTTGCCAGCTACATTCAATTTGTCGAACTTTACAAAAAGAAAGATGTAAATTTGACAATCTATTATTATTCTGTTTTGATACTGGGCCATCAAGTATAATTAAACTTATTTTAAATATATATGGGGCAACCCTGTTGTTTGTTTTTCAAAACACGTGGTACTTCAAAAGTTTTGAATTAATCAGTCTTAATTTTTTAGGAGCATTTTTCAAATAATTTAATGTGAAAATATATGTTAAAAAATCGTTTATAAAGTTTGTCAAATTTTCAAAACCCTGTCATTTTGAAAATGTCGTTTCTATCGAAATACTAATTTGCATTTTTAAATTAATTTAACGTTGAAAACGTGTGGCTAATGACTACAAACGTATTTTGCTCAATTCTCAAAATCCTGGAATTTTGAAAAAAATGTTTAATGTAGTGCATTTTCAAATAATTTAACGTAGAAAACTGAAGACCGTACATTGAAGAATCGTTTCTTAAATTCTGCAAAATTTTCAAAAACCCTGCCATTTCGGAAATTTTGTTTCTATCGAAGCCTTAATTTTTTTAGGTCCATTTTAAAATTTATTTATCTTCAATAATGCATGGGGCTCAAATAACTGTGTACGTTCAAAAATCGTTATTTAAGTTTTGCCAAATTTTCAAAATTCCTGGAACTTCGACATACATTAATTTTTTTGTGGATAACTTCTTTTAATTTTTGTTGCAACTCTAATTGTAATATTACCTATCTATTTTAACATAACATAACACGTCAGGTGAGGATTTTTTAAGGATCAGATAGATTAAAAAAAGTCAATTTAAAAAAAAAACTTCAATTCATATTTCATATCTACCAAAAAAAGTGTAGTACATACATAGAAAATGAAAAGAAACGTAAAAATTTTCAGATTAAATCAGACACAATTACGAAGCTAAAGACTAGTTAATTGGACAACTCATTCTTTTTAAAATATCATCCTGAATTCTATTTTTTTTTTGTTAGTGAGCGAACGATTTGTATTATGTGGTATGTTAATTTTTTTATTGCTTACAGTGATATGCAGTTGTCATTATCCTTAATTCATATAATGATGATGCAAATTTCAATGACAGATAAAAGTCAATATAATGTAACACGTCAATAAATATTTAATCTTTCGTCCGACTGCTCGAAATGTCAGTATCAGAAACGCTCACGTCATAATTTTGATACTAAACAATACTTCTGTGTCATTTTAAAATTGTTATTAGCAGAATCGAAAGTACTGATATCAATAACAAAACCAGAAATTTTGGTCAATATTAACGTTGACAACACTAATTTTGAGATAGTTAATAGTGTATATCTAGATCAGATGATGCAGAAAAAAATAAAAAGTAAAAAGATTGGAAATTGGAAATGTGGACGCTTAAATGAACCGAAGACCAAACATTATAATAGTGTTGACGTTAATGACAATTGACAGAACTTGCATTATTTTCGACAAAAAAATTTCACTGAGATTTGCACCACAATATATAAGTATGTAATATAAAAAAAAGAAAACCTGGCAAAAGCTGTAAAAAGTTAATATACAAGATATAAAAAAACTAAATAATTATAAGTAGACTTACAAATAAATATGGCTGCTATCTACAAGTCATACACTGATTTATCAGCTATAACAATTTCATAGAAAGTCAAACCGTGAAGTGCCATAGAAAAATTTCACTAATTTTTGAAATTAGCGAACTTCCACTTACAGGGATAAAACGACATTTTCTGCGACAATTCACGTTAGGACCCGGTACATCTTAAATAATTGTTTTAACTATTTTCTATGTTTTTTTTTTCTTCTTTATGACAATTTGTTTTAACTGTACACTAAATGGGACAACATCATTATTTTCAATTTCGAGTGATACCAAAAAAAAAAAAAAAAACGACAAGATTTCTTATTTGAAAATGGTAGTGGATTCAAAGGTTTCACAAAACATTTATTTTCCATAACAGGGGATCCTTATATAGTATTTATGAAAATAACGGAGTGAATTAAAATCGAAATCATTTAGTTCAAATCTAACGAACCAAGAGAGAAGAAATAATTGAACTTAAATAAGTGGCATTCCAAAATGCTGTCCCTGGATAATGACAGAGGATCTGTTGTCTTTGACAGAGTTAATGATAGTTATATAGATTGATCAATCTATTACCCACGGGCAACCATTTTGTTTGAAATACCCAATATTTAAGTAATACAGTTTGCTGTCATACATTGCAATAACGTGAATACCTTCGCAGGTAACGCAGCGTATCTTAAAACTATCAGGCGGAAATGGAAAATACTGCACTAGGTCTGACTGAAGACTAAACGGCATTCGATTTCTTATATTTGACAGAAGTGACAATTGACGGAAACCGCTAACAGATTTGAATTTAATCACTCCGTTGAAAAAAATTAAATATTAGTTAACAAGGATTTTTTGAGGAAGGTTCACTGGCCTTTAATAACATTATTAAATATTATTAGTAAACATTTTAGTAGGTACAACATTTCTTTTAACATGTATAATATCTTAAAGACATAAAATGATGCACTCTTTTTTTATGAAACCTCGTCAATGAAAAATTACGTAATAATAAAAGCTATAGACGGATTAAAAAATTTGGGTACCTAATTTTATAATTAATTAAATAATAAAATAGATCAATCACAGACAATTCTCAAAATAATTTAAAAGATACAATTATATAATTCTAGATATCTATCTACACGCATACATCACTCTTGCATACACATTATTATCATAAATTAGACAGGGGCACAAACTGGGAGGGGGGGTTGTTTTGTTTCTGATAGCTAACGTTTCCATCAGTTTTTAAAAATTGAAAATCTAATATATTGGAGATGTTTTAATAAATAAATAAGCGTTGCTATCGCCATTTTTTTCGACTTGATTATACGAATTTTGGTTCAAATACTATAATTTTGTCTCGAAATGGTGTAAAATAGAAAAAAATACCAATAGAGTTTAAATAAAATATTTCTGATTAGATAAAGATTCTAGATTTTAAACTTGATACATCAAGATCTTAAATGAACCATGGCTTCAATGCAAAATACAAAAACATGATTAAATTCAAAAGTTATAATAAAAAAACTTAATACCAAATATTGATTTTAACGATTCGTTGACTTTAATGTAAAGTTATGACTTTGATCTAGACTTTAAAAGCTAGGTGTTGACTTTAAAGGGGTAGCATAGTTTGTACCAGTAATAATAACAACACAATTTGCAAAAAATGGGAAGAAGTGGCAGCCATGATACGGCAAATATTAAGTATTAAAGAAAAAGACGAACGACGATTAGGGACAGAAGAAGCAGTCGAAATAATATAAATGCACGGAAAAAATGTGAAGTAACCCTTATCTGAAGTAATGCTAATGGCAGTTCCAGATAAGATGTTAAGAAAACTTGGAGGTGTTTTAGTGAGTATACAGTGCCTGCACCCACCGCACTGGAGTATTACACTACCTTGTCGCAATAGATCTAAGCGCTTGATGTCCGTAAGGGATTTCACCTCTACCGGAAAAAAAACAATTTAGAGGTTTTATAAACGTCAATCTTTAGAATAATACCGAGAGAAACATTAAGAACCTTGATTCAAACGCACATACCAAATAATGGTAGAAAAACATATTTTCTTAACAAAGAAAAAATTATTGCAAATAATGAAGGTGTTTGTTAAAAATACTATAAAATCATCAGAAATTTGAACGTGAGGAAAAAACGAAGGAAAATATGAAGCATTGCCCACGAAAAAATGTAGGAACAATCTCATGGGTAAATATTAAAATGTGGTCCCCTTGGTTTAATTATATAATTATCACTGTAAAATAAGGATATTTTACATGCCCCAAAGATTAATATCATCCGAATTATACACTCAAGGCGCATAACGTGTTAAAATTAGCCCAAATTTTTAATTATTATGTACGTATACAACAAAAAACGTAATGTGTTGTTATTAATAAGATGAATTTTAATTAAAAGCAATTTAAATTCTTTTTTTTTAATTCTCTGTTGGTATTTTTTCTAATTTATAAAATTTTGTGAATTTTATGTCCGAATAATTAAAATAATAATAATTATCTTTTACAATATTATTATTGGCAACTATGACTTTACTAATATTTAGAGAACAATCTCGCAAAGATTCCAATAAAACGGATTTATTTACATGATACTTTTCTTATTCCATTTAACGACCATCCGAAATTTTATCACTGTGACATTATTCGTATCCTAGTTGCGGCAAACATTTCATAAAGTGGAGCAATCATAATTTATGTCAATGACTGCTACACACGATATATAAGTAGATATTTTATTCTCAATTTACTTAAGTAGTGACAATTTTGCGAAAACCGTATACAAATGTCTCTTTTCCATTAAAATGGCACCTGTTCATTACAATCCTTTATAAATAATTCCATCTTCAACATCAAATAGACTCTTACTATTTTTTCATTACTCATTACAGTCACACACTAAGTCTTACATACATAATATATTTTTTTTTACATATAAAGTCTTCTATTAACGCAATTCCACGATAATACAGCCAAAATCACTAAAATCACTGATGGGAGGGCAGCGTTGCTGCTTGATCCAACTTTGGTCACTGTCGGAGGTTGATCGTAGCTTGTTGGAGGTTTGGAATCCACTGTCGGTGGGAGGCCGCTGCGGGACATACCATCTTCTAAAAAAATACATGAAAAATAAAATAATGTTCAAAGAATCACAAAGGTACATATTTAGAAACTACGAATTATATCTACGAATATTTGGGATGAATTTTGAGTTGATACTTTTTTAACTATGTATAGATGTTAAAAAAACTCAACAATAAGAAATTAAAAAATTTAAATCCGACCTTGGACTCGTGTACGAAAAGTTTTTATTTCTTAAGGTCTATGCCCACTATACCGTACCATACTATGACCGTGCCCGAACCTGATTTTTTTTTGTATAGATTCAAATGAGGATGGTGTGTCGATGGCGGGCCGGTCTAGTCGGCATTGTCTCATTTAAATCTATACAAAGAATATTTTTCTGCCTAAGCCGGTACGGTCACGGTCATAGTATGATCCGGTGTAGTGGGCATTGGCCTTTATTTTGATTTTTCTTATGAATATGAATCACAATTCACGTGTACAAGTTTTTGTAATTCAACCGGCTGGTTTCAGTACATAATTTTATCAAGAAAGATCCAGTAACAAGTGCAAATTAGGTAGGAAAAGTCGAAGAAAAGTGTGGACAACTGCGAGAAAATACATTTTATTCTTTTCACATTCAAATTGAAGATTTTCATCGCAGAGTTGTTTTGGAACAATATAAATATAATCAACATAGACATATCATTGTTACCAATAATATCTAGTTATTTGAAAAGCTACTATTAAAACCAATAATTAAAAATAAAAGCCTGATTTCTTTGCACCAATTTGGGTAATACCAATTAATCAAATATACAGGATAGCCAATATATTATCATCATACAAAAATATATATGCTCAGCTACTTCTTGATGTAGCATAATTATTTGACAAGGTTTGATATGCTGGCTTGATGCGAAAACTTGAAAAGAAAATAAAGCAGGTGTTCCACAAGGTAGTGTACTAGAACCAGTTCTGAGAAATCCTCCAAAGCAGAAGAAAAAACTTGTTATAAATTAATCAAAAATGAATCAAAAATTAATTGGCTAGTAATAAAACATTTATCTAAAATCTTTGCAATTTTTGGTTACTTTTCTTTTATTCATACCGTTAATGGAAATTGTTTTACTTCTAAAGAATTTAAGGATTTTCTTACTTCAAGAGGAATTGTCTCGAGTCGCTCTATCCCATATAATCTCAGAGGAAACGGTCAAATTGAAAGAGAAAATGGTACAATATGGAAGACGATACAGTTAGCGTTAAAATTTAAAAATTTCTCAGTGGGAATGTGTGTTAAATGAAGCTCTCCATTCAATTAGGTTTTTGTTATGCACCGCAATAAACGCCACTCCACATGAAAGAATGTTCAACCGCTGTAGACGTTCAGTTAATGGACAATCTCTTCCCTCATGTTTAGCTGATACTGCTCCTAAACTATTAAGGAAGCAGGTTCGTAAATCCAAGTATGAACCAATTGTGAAAAAGTAATCCTGAATTTTCGTATGTAAGAATATCCGATGGAAACGAAATAACGGTCTCAAATCGTCATTTAGCACCAAGAGGGAATATTATTGAGAATAGTTCACTTGAAGAAATTGAAGATGATAGTTGTAAGAGGGGGAGAATTGAGGCTTATGTAACACCACATATTTTTAAGGGTGTTCTAGAACCTCCAATTTGGAGTGATCTTTCAGAATGTCATGACCAAGGATTGGGTCTGAGCATAAATTATCCCTAACTAAGAGTCTCACATTTTTATAAGAATGACTATATACTTTTAGAGTTACAGTACATGTCTCCTTAACTTTAGTAGTAAGATTTGAGGAAGCCATTGTAATAATTTCGTAAGATGGTGATAAAATAAATCCATATTTTGAAACTATAGAACTGTTCAGAAAACTTAAACTACTAGACCAGTGTCTTTTATACCATAAATTCTATTCTATTTATATGTAAGATATTAGAGTTTTGCTAAGACAAGGAGGAGTCACAAAAGAAATAATACATCCTAAAATGTCATTTTCAGCGGAAGCTACAACAGCGTTTACGTTCTTTCTTTTACTTTGACACTTTGGTGTCCGCGTTTTTTGCACAAAATACAGACAGCTTAAACTTAAGTTTCTTTTTGTACTGCACGAGACGTTAGCAGAAGTTAAAGAGCTATTTAGAAGATACAAAGATTTTTAAATAAACTGTTTTATTAAATAGAATCGTTTTGTAACGTTTAAGAAATACTGCATTATAAGTGGTTTCATAAGTTATTTTTTTTAATGTTCACAAATAACATATGTTTATTGCAATTTTAGATTCAACAGTTACTAAAAGCAGAGGGCAAGGGCATGTACGAAGTAATAAAAATATGTTTTGTGTTATAATTTCTAATACCCTCATGAAAGATGGTATCAAAGTAAAATGTTAGTTTTACATTTTTAAATATCAGTTTTGCCTGATCAGTCATTTATTGAAAGATTGATTTAAGACTCAATATTATAAAATGTAATATCTTTTTTTAGCTGTTGCTGAGAGTGACAATGGTGTTGCTTAAAAAATAAGCGAAATAAACTTAAGAAAATGGCTGAGAAGGTCAACAGAAAGGAATGCGTATAAAACCAATACATGCTTGCTATTATTTATGACAATAAAAATATGTCCATAGTTGCAATTATTTTATTTATTAATGTAGGTGGTGACATCCATAAATTGTCCAAAAGCATTACAAAACGAGTCCATATATAGATCTTTTATGGAGTCCAAATGGACGTCCAGGAATGGGATATTTATATAGTCCATTGGACGTCCTTCAGTAAAATGCTGGACGTCGTTTGGACAGCCGTTATGTCCATCAGTGGACACATCCAATGGATTAACTTGTGCTATCTAGGAATAATAATATATTACTCTCCCTAATTCACCCTCTTATGAGTGAATTTTTACTATAAAGGGACAGCTAATATTATTATAGAGAACAATGCAAATACATTCACATGGTTTTTTGTAGGATTCAAGACCGAGTGTCTGGCAACCATAAAATAGATGAAACTGCAATATTGGTAGTTGGTGGAAATAATACAGAGACCTCAGGTAACTTGCAAATGAATCAATTGATGGATATAAAAGTGGAAAATAAAAATAAATCAAACTAAATCAATGCATGTTGATTTTACTCTTTGACAAAATGAATTAAAACAAACAACAATATGTTCCCAAACATATGTAGTGCTCCTGCTTAAATTAGAGAAAATACAAGCAAGGACATTTTTATTTCTATAATATTATACTACGGTTAGGAAATTATCTTTATTCCTTTTTATTCTTTGTTGTTTTATGTATGTTAATATTTCTTTTTCATATAATATTTGTTTTACATCTTTATTTGTTCCTATTTTGTATTAATTATCGCCTATTCGAACTGGTTCAAGTGCAGTTCTCAATTTTTTGTTCTTTCTTAAGTCTTCTTCGCCTCTTTTGCGATAGTCATTGTTTTAGAAACGAATATTGGTAAATATTGTCAAAATAAGAAAAAACTTCTCGACAATTTTACCTGCATATCTTTTAAATATTTTAATGTAACTCATTACATCAGAGAATTAAAATTATCAATGGAGTAAAACACGTAACATTGGGTTAATTATTACAATCCTTTAATTATTTAGTGCAAATTTCTGGAATTACAGGAACACGAAGCACGACATGGAGGAAACCTGCCAGAGTAACATCTCGGCTAATTCAGGAAGTACATTTCCTGAGACATGACTGTTATGAATTACAAATTCAACACAAATGTGCCGATATCGACTAGTTTCAAAAGTTACAAGCTTCTATTTTGAGGCCAAATTGCTATAAAAGGTTTTTCTGGTCTGTAATGTTTTTTCTTTATATTTAAACAATTGTTTTCTTGATAGTTCGAAAGAGATCAGATATTTCATTAACTTAATCTGTTATACAATGAAAGCAGAAAGGACATGTAGAAGGAAGCCTAATTTGTTAGAAAAACATCAGCAACATTATTATTATTATTATTATTATTATTATTATTATTATAATACAAATTGCCTTAACGAATTCCGAAGAAGTAGAATTACCGACGACTACAAATAAAGACCACTTACCCTCGTGAACGTGTCCATCTCCTGACCCAGATCCCCTGACGTAATCTTCGTCTTCCTCCATATCAGGACCATTACCAGATCCCGATCCTTCTGTTCCATCTCTCTGCATGTAGTCTGCATCAACAGAGTAGTTGGGACCTAAAGAATTGACCGCGATCTACAAAAAATGAAATGTAAAGTTAAATGAATTAAATTTGAATTTTGAATAATGTTTTACAATAAAAAAGAAAAAATTTGCCAATTTTTTGTTAAATCGATTTTTTTATTTTTATTATAAAAACTATTTCAAGTAATTCAACAATAATTTATTGATTGAATTCTTATCGCAAAATTTAGACATAATTAAAACTAGTGAAGATAAAAAAAAAATCAAATAAATTAATTTGCAAATTGATTCGATGACAAATCGTTGTACGAGATACATATCTGGGTACGTTCCGCACCCATATCTGATCGATATCTGAAAAATAAATCAAACTAATGCATGACACAAATCATGTTTCATTTTCTGATGTCTGCCGCGATATATTAATATACAACATGAATTAAATGATTTTAATTTTTTTTCGTTTTTAATTTTACGTCCATAGGAAAAAATATAACGTGTATTATATATTGTAAATTTTAATTAATTACAATTAAACGACAAAAATCTATTGTATGATAATAATAATAATCTTTATAGTTTTTTGAATTTAAAATTCTATAACAAGGTAAGAAATAGAATAAAGTTGAAAGATATTTTATAGATTATTCTTAATATCAGTTTTATTTAAGGAAGAAACTATGGAGTGCAGAGAGAGGTAAGAACTATTTCTGTATACAAAAAGTGTCCTTCAAAATGTATGAAATTAAAATAGCGCTTCTGTACCAGAAGGAAAAAATCCACTGATATATAGTTATATATATATTGCTCACCATAAGTAAAAAACTTACAACTACACCGTGAAACTATAAGTAAAACTTCTTTTTTTCTTTGTGCTGGAAAGTAGTCTCTCTTCATTTTTTTATTAGAGTCGTCGACTTATTTTGGCACATTCCTGGCAATGCCATTCGCAAAACTGCTTTACTGGTTGCCTGCGTTCAATAATGCCTTTTAGTGGCATGTCTCGATTTTTGTCATCTGAATTACATATGGATGAGCAATCTATGTAATTTATATATCATTGGATTTTTCTGTTTTAGTACGAGCCCAATCTTTTTTTTTTTTTCGATTTATTGTCTAGGCATATGTACCTAATATGCCAGTCTCAGTTTTGCGTTTAAATTCTCAATCATTAGTGTTATGTGTAGGCTTTGTCACTGTTTCCTAGCGCCACTTCAGGAACATCACTGTTAATTAGAACCCAACAGTGAATAGTCGAGTGGGGAATCCTACCAAGGCATCAGAATTAATTTTAAATAATTAAATTAAATGAAAAATCCCGGCCAACAGTGGGATTCGAACCTGGGACCCTTGGGTCGGCAGGCAGAGAATCTACCAGAGTCACCCACCTTCCAGCCCCATCTTAATTTTATGTATTATATTTCATATATATTAATGGACACTTTTTGATATAAACAACCATACAAGATTGTCCTTCTTTCCTCTAGATTTAATACGAGAGACATAAAAACAAGTGAAAATTTGGGAAAATGCCCATTATGTAATAACGAATAGATAGAAAATTAAAACTAGAACAATACAAAAGAGAAAAATATTTTATACAATATAGAGTATTCTAAACATTAATTTAGAATGAAATGTAGTTTTAATTTAAGGGAGAGACATAAAAAATAAGTGAAAATTTGGAAAAATACTCATTACGTAAAAACAAATAGAGATAAAAAATTGAAACTAGAACAATCCAAAAGAGAACACAATTGTATTCAATAAAATCGATTTAGAGAAGAGACATTTAACTAGTAAAAATTTAGAAATCAACCGTAAAAAAATTAATTAAATTTTTGATAAAATACTTTCATTATGTTGTTCTTAATTTCTGAGATACGATGTCGTTGCGTCCCTTCTCAGACTCACTCTGTTAACAATTAAAATTCAAGTTTCTTTCGCCGATTCCAATCTTGCTTTCTCGCCGGAACACCCACATAGCGTGGAAGAATTATTGAAATCTATAATTATTGGTTTTATTGTTATTAATATCGGGTTAATTCGTGTATGTCTCGCTTTTATGGAAATATTAAATTTTTCCCGTCAGACGTGTATACGTGGGCGTGTGAGAGGTTAAACGCATTTAACACGATAGTTTTTATTCTGACATCTGGCCAGTCAATGTCCGCGAAAATTGGTTAAAATTGTTGATGATTAAACAATTAATATCGATAAATTTGAGTTATAAGGTCGTTTGCGCTAATTTCGAATTTAAATGAACAAAATTTCAGATGCTGTATTTATGAATTGTAGATACAATTCAATGCCTATTGTGGTATTAGCCAAAGGAGTGATTGTTTTCCTGAGGAAAGCGGTCGCTCGTATTATTATGCGACACTAGTTCTGAGTTATTTTCATTTTAATTATTTGAATATTTGAGATTTTTTTTTCCTTTTTTATAACGTTTTAAGTTTAGTAAAATAAAACTTAAATTTATTTAATGTTTTTTTTTTTTTTGTAGAGGTATCTACCGGACGTAAGTTTAATATTTTATTATAAAACTATTATATTATAAATTCATATTCTTCACTTCATGTTTTCCCCGTATTTTTATTTCTATGTTTTTTTTTTTGTAAAAAACAATTATATGTACAAATTAATTCTCTCTATATTTTTGAAATTTCCAAGTTTTGCACAATCCCAAAGAACCACGATTTGTTTCGTTCTCTCTATCTAATACGGATGTACTTTATAAGACAATATTCAATTTTCCAGTGCACTATTTCGAAATATTTGCCACATATTTTCCATTAGGTTTATATATGACTTTATTCCTTCCATATATTTATGACAAAAGATATATGTACCTACGTACCTAAAGCTATTCAGAATTAAGTGAAGACGTAGAGTAAAAGGGGTAAAAAAGTGTTAACGAAAATGTTAAATAAACCCGAATTAATATTTATTTTTAACTTATTTAAATGTAGTAATGTGGTAAGCATACAGGATGTTTCTTAATGATATGCAAGCAAGTATGCATTTAGGCCCGTTGAAGATATTCTTTAATTTGTTTTAGAGATATTTAATAAAATATTTTTTTTTTTTTTTTTGGGTTAACGTTGGCATCGAAATGACTCCATTTGACACATTATACAACCATGTTAGCACGTGTTTTGTGAAGTGGTTATACAGGATGTTATAGTATACAGGGTGATAAATCATTTAAAAACAAAAATTTTGAAGTTAATTCCTTTAACTTAACACAATATTTATAAAAAACAGGCATATTATCTAATATATCATCGTATCGTTGCAAACTATTTTGTAAATTGCTGGACGGCAAAGGCAGCCATGATTACGTCAATATGTCCGACGGCGATTCGTCGGAAAAGTGTCAAAACCAGGGAAAAGGTCGAATAATGTTCGGTTCTTGTTTCAAACAATATACTCGTCGCCGTCGCAAGCGTAAATTATGACGTTAACTTAAGGGTTGAATAAAAAGTGATTTTCGATGTGACAGGGTTTAACCTGAGGGTAGCAAGTTGTTGAAGGGAAAAGATCCTTGAATCAGAGTCGTTGCAGGAAAAATTTAGGAATTTATCAGAGGATCTTTGATTTTACCAATATAAATGTTAATAAATCGATTAGAAGCCACTGAGCATGTTTCACAAAATATGTATTTAGGTTTAAAAGAGTTATATCGGACTATTTTAGACAATATGAGTTTCTTTAAACATTATTTCTCAGTTATTCATCGCAATTTCTTCTAAGAGTAACTTTCACAAGTTATTTATAACAGTAAATAACAATTGTTTCTCACAGTTCCTTCTCACACTTATTCTTCACAGTCATTTAACACAGTTATTTATTGAAGTTACTCTTCATATTTATTACTCAATTATTTTTCACAACTATTTCTTACATATATTTTTTACGTTTACTTCTTGCATTTATTTCTAAGGTGTTTTTCATAGTTATTTCTCATAATTATTTCTTACATGTATTTGTTCCAGTTGCATTTTATGTATTAGTTATTCTATATACTGATGTCTGGTTCTCACCACCACTACTAAAATTTTTAGTCTTAATAACTAATTACTTACAAATTCATTTTCGTAACTAAAGGTTATTTTAAGATTGCTGCTAGAAAACATTATGGCATCTTAAACTGTTTTTGTTATAAGCACGCCCCTGGGTAGTTGTTATCAAATCCAAACATGCTACAAGAGAAGCTCTCGTATAGAGATGTCTACTTTCAAAGTGATTTACTCTGGAGCACGGAACTGCATCATATGTTCGTACGAAACATGATGAAAAATGAAATAGAAAGATAAAAAAAAAACAACTTACATGATGTACACGCCGCAGTTTGTCAACCAAATTAGCCACTCTCGGATCGATACTCTGTATGTTTGTGCTCGGTTTCACTTCCGGGTTGTATTTTTGCATATCGAAACCCACGTCGACTACGGTTTTTGTGTACCTAAAATAAAAAATCAATCACATTTTAGCATATTAGTAAAAACCACAGATCGTTAATATATCTGTGGTTAATACCTAGATATTGAGGTCTAAAGATAAGCGATACGCCCTCTACTGTGAAAAAATGAACTAAATATAGCGGCCATTTGACATTTGACATTCTGTTAGGTTTTGTATATTATGTCACGTCAATTAATGTTGTTTTAAAATTTAACAAGCATTTTGTTTGAAATAGTTTATGTAATAATAAGCCAAAGATTTAAATTTTTACTTTCCTATCTGTATACAGATAAGAATCATGATTATCCAGCGACTTTTCAACAAACAGTTTTAGAATTATTTCCATTACCGGACCACAAACCTGCGCTTCAACGAATTAATACTCATTCCCACTCGTTGAAACTGAATCTGTGAAGTTTGTGACCCGAAGAAAACAAATAACTATAGCGTATTTATTGGACTATTTCCCTTTTTTATTCCTTCTGTGTCCACTCCCTCACGACGAACAGACTTCTAAAAGTTTCGTACACGGAAAATTTTCACAAATAAAATAAAACGATACTACAGTGGAAATCTCTTACGGTTCTGAGTTCGGAATTCATTTTGTATTTTCTTTTGTCCGGAATCCAGAACATGAAATAAGAATGCACACGGTGACTTCTTTTATTTTTCTTTAATAACTAATTTAAATGTAAACGGCAGACCGTTTACCGAAATTGCTTGGTTAAGTTTGAATTTGCGTGAATACATAAAGATTGAGTCTATTTTTTTTTGGGAAAAATTTTTCCTTCCCGTAGAATAATTTAATAAATTTCTATGTGTTTTAAAAAAGAATTTTGAAAGATGGACGCCAATTTCAAACAACTGCTGAAGTGAAAATCTGCATGTAATTAGAAACAATTGGCAAATTATTCATGAATTTTGAATTGGTTTTTAAACTCTGAGCACTGGCCTATTTTTATTATACTTATTAACACGGTTTAGCAGATGTATGTAAATTCGCCAAATTCCATTTTGCGAAAATTCATATAATGAATTGGCGGATTCTGGGAAGTTTTTCCGGTTCGAAATTGAATTTCTCTCTCTGCCTTTATTACAAAGTAAATTAAAACGAACGGAAGGGTGTCTATTTATACGAATATCAGATTCAAATTTAATTTTAAAAGTCTAATTATGCCGGAAACGAAGTTCAAGCAGTTTTTCTCGTAATTAGGGTAAAAAACGGGATTTCGTATGATCTAAAGTATTTTATTTCAGAAAGCGGATAATATACTGACCGTAATAGAATTTTTTTAAAATAAATCAGTTCTTTACTACTCTCTTGAATTAAAAAATTAGTAGGAAAACAAAAAGAAAACTTTTTACATAAATAAAAATCATGGTTCCTATACTTTCCTTATATCTGTATACAGATAGATAGGAAAGTCAAAATTATTATTATGTCTGTTTTTAGATAAATATTTTGTCTGTTTTTACAGTTATTTGTTTTTTTTATTAAATATTTATTATATCGAGGATTGTTAATTATGATTACAATCACAAAAATTTTTATATAATTTAAATAGGAAAGTATCAAAGTATTATAACGTATCACCCAAAAGGTAATTTTATGGAAAACTAGATGCAGATGCAGCTACTAACAGCACTTAATCAAACACCCTGTACAATATAAGTAATTGTATGCAGAGTTCGCTCGACCCATCGCGTCGGTTGTAGAAACTATTTAGCAAAGACAGGAACGCTACAAATGCAAGTAAACGAACTTTACATGGTTAAATATTAAATAGCAAAAAAGACAATAAGAATAAGAAATAGGGGTCTAGTTAATTAATATCTTAAAATTATTTATTAAAAGATGACTTACTCTGCAATTCTTTCACCGTTCCAACACTGCTGATCCTTCCTTTCGGCAAAGGACTCATCCTGACACAGGGTATTCGCTAAATTCGCATAGAATCCTTTCGTTTTTCCAATAGCGGCCAGAAAGTGAGTTAGTTCGTTCTCGGGAAGAGGCGAAAAGTTTCTGGGATTGGTATTCCGCGGTTTACCGCTAGCCGGCGTTGGATATGGTGTACTGCTATCCGCCAAAAGTGGATTTTCTTTGTGGGAAAATTCCGGCGTGCCGCAGATTTTCTTCACCTAAAGAGAAAGAATAACGTCAGTATGAGATAGATAAATACCTATTTATTAAACCTTAATTAGTGATTATTTACAAAGAATCTGTCGATGGTATTATATCTTCACTTCACAGAACTATTTTACTGTATTCTTAAAAAGAGACAGCTTTTTCGTCGTTCTGGATAAGTGTAAAACAGTATAAAACAAAGGGAAATGGTAAATACAGAAGCACAGCAAAGTTTCTTCAGTTCTTTTTTACAGATATATTCGTGAGACCAGCCTTAATTTACCGGCAGAAATGTTTGTATAGTTTAAAACAACAAAAAAACGCCAAACGCCACCTATATCAAATTCATTTGAAAATTGCAATATGCATCTAACATTTAATTTCAAATTAAACAGTAGGCGTTACCCTGCCACCTAGGTGTCAATCTACGAACTTTCATGCCTATCCCAGTAATAATGTATAATTATTTTTAAAATTACTGAGGTACTTATTCACGCTTCAAGGTAGTACTTTCTCACCGTCCTACTGTAATAATTTATGTAAACATCTTGAGCCATTGGTCAAGTCGGTAGCTTCTAATTATCATATCGGACAAACATAAATCCTAAACAAAAAATGCATATTTATCCAGTATCTGACTTGTAATTTTCTCTTTACCGTAGGCAATGCGTGTGATGATGTGTGAAGCAAGTTCTTGAATTTGTTTATCATTTGACTTACATAGTAACTACTAATCAAAATTCTACCGGATGGTTCGAGAGTATTGGCTACAAACGCAAATAAAGACGTATTTTTTGCGCAGTCTTGATGTAAAATATTGGATAACATATTTTATTTTATAGCTTAGAGCAGGGATCTTCAAACTTTCCAGCCTTAGGACCATATTGATTACTCCAGTATCTATAATTATCTATAATTTCTAGACTAGTCGCCCAGTATTTTTTTGGTTTTAAAGTTTCGACTGAAAAATGAATGAATTAATCCTGGAGTCTAATATATTATTTAGTGATTCATAATTAGGCGAGAAGTAGTAATTTGATTCCATAAATACTTCCGCTAAACGCAATAGCCCATCTAAAGTTAAATATCATTTAGGTACATTAAATTGTCTGGTCCTTCGAGCCGGAACTTTAACCCACCCGGCAGTCTCCGGTAAATTAGAGCCCAAGACCGGAGAATTCCCGACGGCACTGTCTCAGTAGCGTTTAAACGTATGGTCATGACGTCGCTGGGAATCCAGCCAGTAGCCAGTAACTTTTGTCTCATTGGAAGCAACAAATTATTTCCAATAAAACTTGTTTTTCTGTTGAGTTGCGAGAAAATCCTCGCATTTTTTTGCCGATATACGCTCCGACATAGATCGGCTCGTAAGTCTAGATCAGTGTGTCACTTCTGAAAGGGATCGATTTGATGTACGGTTCGCTGGAATCGCTTCTATGAGATTCTGCAGGGCATATTTTTAACTAAATCGACTTGCCGGAGCTATTAATAGTAAGGACGTATCGTGAAATGATAGTACTTGTATCATTCGTTTGGTAGATAGACATTTTGTGCAGGATTCATATACCAAGCTAAAATCAACTTTACTTGACAAATTTATATGAAAATAAAATAATAAAGAATCGCTTTTTCTATTTAAATAAAAACCAAATGTTTAGAAGATTATTATTGCTAGGTTTTCATCAGACTTTGTACAGTAGTTTATGTTATAAGGACGAAAAGTTTTTTGGGCGATTACGAGAAGTTTCCTAGAAGTAGTCGAGCCTGGTAACTCGTAGGAGTCCGAAAACACACTTTTGGTCCGTATTTCATACATTATTTTTTTTTATTCGACTATGCTCTTAAATATTAAAAAAAAAAAATATAGAAAAATTAAATCCGAAATTATATTATTTCCAATTTTTTTTTTGTAACTGAGATGGCCGTGTTCGTTATTAATAGCTATATCGTGATATAAATATGATTTATACGCAAATATAACACCTGCCGTGATTATTTCACATAGAGATATCAAGCTCTTTAATTTTGCTCAGATTTGCACATTTAGAATGTAATTAAATCCTTCTAACGAGTTTTTCTCGCTATTTTAAAAATCTAAAAGCTCTAGATAAATCCGGTTTAAAAACTATCAAAATTTTCTGAATTCTGAACGAAATTTCTAGAATTTGAACAGTCCGTAAAGAGCGTAACTAATACCATTAGTTATATCCTCTTGAAAATATCACCGTCATTACTTTCATCAAAGACATCCGCCATTGGTCGGTGAACGCCCGACATTTATTAGACCGAGGAGCAAAATAAAAGGACGTAAGCCAACTTTGATCTATAATTATTTGATCTAGTGAAAAATTGCAGCAGCTATTGTGTACTCTGGGTAGGAATTTCATCCAGGCAGTTTTTGTTCATTGTTTGTTGGAATCTTTACTCTGAAATTTTAGCGAAAGCGGTATACAGATTATTTCGAGACTTTATTTTCAACTTTTTTACGTTTTTCTTTTTGAAAATTTGACGTTATACGTTATGCTATTGTCAAGAATTTATATATTGCTTTAAGTTTCCCCCAGTTTTGCAATTATCTTTAGAAATTTATAATAAATTTTAATTTGTTGTAATTATTAATATTTCCCTGATCTCTCAGAAATAATTGCGAAATAAAATTTATAATTATTTTAATTTAATAAATATTCCAACATAGTTTAAAAACTTTTTTAATTAATGTGAATTGACTATCTTTAATGACTGGCCTATTTTTGTACATCGTTTTTTGTTGGGTTGTGCGATGTTTTACTCACGTCGCCAATTTTCCGAAGTTATACGCTTCAATAGCGCTATGAAAAGCCCTTTCGCTAGTTTCTAGGTTATTCACTTGGATTGTTTGAACCGATATCAGACATTTTTTTCCTTAAAGCATAAAATATCGCGTCGGTGATATTTTGATGTTTTTAATACTAAGCTACAGTCTAGAAAAGTAAGGAATGCAGTAATTAAATTTGAAGAATGTAGTACTAATTCAAGAGGTAGGCATTTCATTTATACCTCATCCACAGTTTATAGTTAAAGAATCAGTTCGCTCACTCTGCGTCGGCACTTTTCATTTCAATGTTCCAGTTTATACACTGCGCAACTCGGATTTGTATCTCTGGCGCATACAGAATCAAATCATAACCAATACAATATATGACAACCGTCTATATTCAAACAGCATTCTTCTACGCATCCTGAATTTGTATCTCTGGAATGGATGTTATTTTGGAACAACCAACTGGTCCGAGTGAGTTGATTCTTTAGCAATAAACTGTGCCTCATCTTTCAATGCTTATTTGCAGTTAAAATGTAAATTTTAATTCATCTGATCGGCCTAATAAAAGTATTTGTTTTGATTTAATCATATTTTTTAATCATTGTGTGGAGACATGATTATTTAAGGAAAATAGCGGACGCAAGGAATCAGCATAAATAGGTATTTTAATGAAACAGTTATTGTGAGACATACAGAAACAAAAATTTGGCAAGGTACCTCCATCAAGACTAAAAAATAAGCCTTTATCGGGGGTTACTTAATATATTGTTAGATTCGTGCAATATTCAAGACGCCGGCGCCGCCACTGCCTAAGCGATACTTGGATCTTGTATATTGGATACATACACATACGCACTCGACGAGTAGAAAACCGAAAAATCAAAAAGACACTTATGATTGACGTGGGTTCCTATGCACACGTTTGACGCTATCTAAATTTTAATTAATAATTATTGTTAATAATTTTCTTGATATTAATACATTTTATAAGAAGTGATTAAGTGTTTAATTTGGTGAATGTTCATATTTGAATAAAAGAAGAAAAAGTAATATTTTATTAAAAAAATCCAGTGGCTTGAATAAAATATAAACTAATATTTATTAAAACAAAAACGATTAATTAAATCTTAAAATATAATAAAAACTGTACCAAATTCAGAAAATTGCACGTGGTGATGTGACAACACCGTTATACGAAAACAATACACCTGCCATTTCTTTCCTATCCCGGTACCCGGTACTCGTCCTGCGACCGTACCAGCGGACATTCATCGGATCGGAATGGAATGCGCATAGCGCAAGGTGCGTCAGAATGAAACAAATGGCTGTGGTACTTCTTGGAGTGGTACCGTGGTGCTGTCTCGGGTCATACTCTTTACTTTAGGGGTAGGTATGCGGGCCGCAAAGCGGCGGTACCCGTTTTAAAAAATTTCAAGGCCTACCACACACGTTCGACACCTCACGCCCGCGAGAAGACTGTTGTAGGACGGTGTTGTCACGTTTACGTGCAAAATTTTTGATAAGCGCTTAAATTGATCACGGTATCAAGAAGAAGAAGGGACATATCAATTAGTTATCTTTAAAAGTTTAGAAAATCAGGACGTTACTTTTAATACCCTGTATCTCGGAAACAGAACGTTTTCGGATCTATGTTTATATAAACTTTTACTCCTATTTTAGGATGTAGATTACGCTGTTAAAACATGACCGTCTAATTTCGAGACACCCTGTATAGGTTTTGTACGAACTAAATTTAAGTTTAAAATTTAGTGCTTAAATTTAAAACTATAAATGTTTTATGTTATTAAAAGTACCTACGTGTGTAAAACCTGAAATAAAAATTGCATTAGGCGAACAAATGAAACGTAATTTAATCCAAAAAACAAACGAATAATGTGGTCCAGTGACTCATGCGAATTTTCGAATTAAATTAACAACTTTTAGGGCATTCGCTTGTTTACTTATATTTACTGTTCCATGCTACGTTAACCTTGACAAACGAAAACAGCAAAAAAACAAATTTTATGCTCATTACTGAGATACTCAGTTTTAGATGAATTTCTGTAGATTTCAAAGAGTCGAAAAATTTACATAGAATAATAACTAGGTGAAGGTTGTTAAGGTTAGGGTACTGTTTTACATATTGTTGCTTTCTTTTTTTTTATTTCTTTACTTTATGACCTGTATATTATAGAAAACTGTTTTATTGACTAA